GTTTGGTGGTCTGGGTAGGCATCATGCTGTACATAAGGACAGATATTCATATCTTTGACAGATGATGTGACTACTGCGAGGTATAGGGAAGAGATATTAGAGCCCTGTTTATCTCTATGAATGACAATTGCTCATCCAAATAGAGCTAATCTGGAGGATAATTTTCTGGAAAGGGGGAATATTAACCGAATAAATTAGACAACTAGATTTCCAGAAGATTTTGTACTTTGAAGCCCTTGCCGCCAAATGCAACTCGTCTACCCCCTCTCAGAGCCCTTTACGATATAAAAACAAACGTTGCTATAGGAAAGACTGTAAAGACCTTATTTTATTCTAACCAATTATTTATAGTTATTTCTTTCCCTCCTGATTTCAGTTTCTTGCCGGAATGTAAATTTTAATAACGTAGCATGCAAAATCTAAGTGTGTTCAAAAGCAGTAGTTAAGCTGCTGTTTCAAGAGTCGTGAGGAGTAATAGCGGAGTTAGTTCCAAGTTTATGCTGCGTGCTTTAAAATGATTCTGGTGTTCTAGTTGATGTTAGCTACCCTCTTCAGATTATATTGATACTCTAGACTTGGCTTTGCTGAGTGTAGCCGATTTAACGGTTTAGATAAATAAAGAGCCAGTCTTTAGCCATCTTAATTTATTGTAATTTTACATTTTTAGTTTCTGTTCGAGCTATTTAACTACAAGTGGTGGTGAATTGTGAGCACCGAGTGAGTGCATCTCGTTAAGTTAGTTCAAATAAAAGGGTCATTTAAACCTTCTTCTGCAGTATCAGTTCTTCAAAGACATAGCGAAAATTCGCTACGCAGTCTTTTTTATGTAGGTTTTACGGTGAATGCTTCCGAAAATAACACGTAGACTTCACCAGACATCCTGTATAAATCGCAGAGACTCACAAATTGCCTAACTTAAAATGAGACATCACAATGCGAGAGTCGTACAGAGTAAGGCAGAAACAATTAGACGATTTAAATTTGGAGCAACTCCAACATTTTTGTAGGTTGCGCGATGAAACACACATCGCTGAGAAAAGCAGTTTAAAGCCTTTAGATTTCATACGGTGTTAGTCTGTAGAGCATCGAGAGGAGTAAATTTTGCAGAAATTGTTACAAATAGTTAAAAGTAACTTCAGATGCTGGGCAGCAGAGACAGACATGATGCATTAGAAGCCACTGCTGTTATTCTATGAATGTTTCCGCAGCATGTCATCTCTCGTTAGGATGACGTTCAATGGTCTCCAAATTCGCCTAATTTGCCAGCATATTATTTTTTCCTATGGAGGGACTTGAAGGATAACGAATACGTTCACCACTACACATTTTACGGAAACTGAAGGATTACATCCGGAAGTAAAATTATGCAATTCCAATGAATTGGTTAAGGAAAGTAACGCATAACGTCAGACAACGTGCCCAGGTGCACCTTACTCGTCTAAGCGATATAATCCTCAAAAAAAGTGACTTGAAATACTTTTCCATGTTTTTACAGTTATTTACCTAGTTATTATTTTGGTTTCAATTAAAGTGATCATTTTCAAGTTATTAATCGTTTTCCTGCACCATCCTGACTGGACGTTAGAGGTAACCATACCTTCTATTAACTTCGTTTTTTTTCGATCTTGATTTCTATTGTAGACCTTCTTTTGCCGATGAGCCTTATGCCCGATCATGGGTGCATGCCATGACTGTTGGCAAGTATTTTTGTATTGTATCAGCCTAAATCCATAACAGATTTCATTAAAATCTATCCATTAATTCTGAATATAATCGACCAAATGTAAAAATTCTCTTAATTTTGAACACTATTATATATTAGTGCCTAAAATTACGTTTGGAACAACTGAACCACTTATTAAAATGCGCTGATATTTAAATAAAATGTACACATTGACTTAACCTGAAATAACACTTTTATTCTAGAAACAAAAGGTATTGAAACATGTAAAATGAACTGCGTTCATAAATCATCCTAAAAATACGATAAACATTTCCGCTTTTGGTGCTTCCCAGAAATTTTTCTGTTGATATAAACGTATCTAAAGCATGCGTACTTAATTCAGTATAATCAGAGTTGAAAGCCATAGAATGAACAGAAATTTGACAAGTAGAACAGGGCTTGAATTTTAGTCCCGTAGGGGTTTTATGTTATGGCAGAAATTTAACAACACTTGAGGTTCGAAAGCTTGTAAAAGGCATTCAAGAAGTGTAGTAACATCTCAAGAAGAAGTACAAGAACGTCGAAGAAATTCCTCCTATTCAAGAAGTACAACGACTTCACAAAAATATTTTCAGAACAATATGAGGCACATTATAGTGAGGCAAAAACCTTTAAAGCTCTCCATAGATATTGGGATACCTGTTTAGCAAAGCCACGCTTTGCAACGTTGCTGTATACTGTAACTGTAAAACTGCTGTATAGTACTGTAAATCAACGCATTTATAAAGTTAGTCTCATCGCAGATGACCCTAGTTAATATTTTTCAAGCCCTTTATAAAAAACAGCTTTTGGAATTCTGCAGATAATTTCGCTGAAGCCAGACCGACTAGGCACGAAGCGCCTTTCGTTGGTTCTAAATATTGCAGTGCACACGAAAACTATTTGCCTAAGGAAAATAATGCCTTCGTGGAGGATCTCTGAGGGAAACTGGCTCTTATTCACTTTACACATGGAAAAAAAACCACGAAAACTAACCATGCTTCCTTCCCGTTTTCCTGGATTCTAACCCGTGTAAGACTACCAATATTCAGTGATCTTAATCTCTCTGCAATGAGAGGCCAAAACGTTTTACGAAAACGAGCTGAAATTCAGTTTACAAGTTGATTCCTGTTTCATCTGAACAGAAGGAAAACAGCTTCAAACTTTCGATTACAAGATATCTTTGAAGACCGAGTTTTAATGACTAAGTGTCAGACTCTATTTTACATGTTAAAAAGTAGTGATCCAAGTTCTAAGCAGTGTAGAAAGAGACACATTGAGTTTTAAGTAATTTAACTAACACAGTTTTAAGTAATGTAGTTTATTGGTTCTATTGCGCTAATTTTATTTTAAGAGACGAAAATGTACTTTACATGTTAAATAATTCTCAGCTTGTATACATTCCTACAAAATGAAGATACCGTTGGAACTTATCAGCCAAATCTTGGGAATTCTTCATTATGAGCTGAACTAGAATATTTTTATTTTGTGCAGCTTACTTTCCCCTTCTTAGAACATTTTATGAGCTAATAACCATTTATGGTTAAGACTGTAATGTTAAACATGTAATTTGATTAGAAATTTCAAAATTGATAATGTTATTCAGAATTAGATAAAAGTATGGGCCTTTCTTCTTTTCCCCCTGAGTCCTTCCCGCTGAATTGCGTTTTCCACAGCAGATTGAAAATGATTTTAAAAATATGAAATAGATTATTTTGTGACATTTTCTTTAGCACTAAGAGCGTGATGTTTTCACTTACTCAAGTAAACCTCTTTTCACGCTACTTTCCTTCTCAGTGTTCAGAACGTCCTTAAAACATAAGCTATATGCAATGACTAAATATAGGCTATTTAGAGTATCCTAGTGTTGAACGATCAATTTCAGATAATGCTACCAGTGCCACAACATCAGGTATTTTTCTGGAGCAAAACCACTTTTTATTGAGAAAAGCGTGTTTCAAGACCTTTATATAACAGCGACTGTTTGCTGCTTGCCTATGGGTGTGCAGTGTTGACAACCGTAACTATACTGGATAACATGCTAGAACATGCTTTGACGATCATTAGGGTGTTGTCGCTTTGAAATGCCTTCATCATTTAAAAATTTTAAGTATTGAAGGACGGCTAAATTTATCATCACTATATACATATTGTAACATTTGCGGCTCTTCTCAATCATAATCCAAAAATTCAATCATATCTCTGCCATCCGCATGACAAAACGTATTAGGTATTTCCTCTTGGCTGTGGTCATCTACTTAAAGTCATGGCGGTTCAACGCAGGTTTGATCATTCATGTATAACGTTCACAAAATTTACTATGACTACGTATAATTTAGTCCACCAGCGGCCGAGCGGTAAAGTCGCTGAACACTGGTAGTTCGGTCCGGGGTTCGATTCCCGCGAACGGGCTGGCTGCATAGGTGTTTTCGTGGTTTTCCCCATGTGTAACGTGTATGCGAGCCAGTTTCCCTTAGAAAGTCCTCCACGAAGTCATCCCTCCCTTTAGGCAGATAGCTCTAGTGTGCTTTGCCATAATTAAATACACCACACCACCACGTATAATTTTAGGAGAGAGAAATAGAACCAAGCTTAAAGTGTTTCAGTCAGCTCTTGTATATTTTTGTATTCTAATCATTTATTGTATCACGATTCTTTCATTAATGACATTTAAAAACAGGCTAAAACAGGCAGTCTGGTGCTAAAAAAACGGGGCAAATTTTTGCAAATAAGTAAAAGAATTTCCTCATAAAAGATACGTTTTTTCTTGATTTAAGTGTTTACAGTCTTAATATAATTGTTTAGATGTTTTTCATGCTTAAAAACTTGATGCAGTGAATTGAATTTCATTAGATGAATACGGAATCCTTAATTTGTTTCAATTAGCGATACTTTTTAATTTAAAGTTTTAAACGTGCGTCTTTCGATTAATTTGAAAAGGAATACGCTGATAAGATTTATTTTGGACAGGAAAGCAGATTTATTATTGTCGTTGTTGTTATTACTGGTATATCAATGCACATGTCATTATAATTCTATGTATCATAAAATAGATAATTTGAAAACTTAAATTTTCTGTTTTCGTTTGCCTTTTTTGTCATCTAATCGAGAAATGTTATCATGCAAAAGTTACCGAATTTTTATCAAAATTCTTCCCCCCTCTTTGAAATATGATTTAATTTCGAAATAGTTCACTTTTTTAACGACAGCCATTATTTTGTTCCAGTTTTGAACGACTATATTTATTAATAACAGGCTCATTGAGAAAGCATGCAAAAGTGATGAAATCAATCCACACTTAAAGAGGTAAAAATTTTAATGCCAAAAAATACACGAGGTAAAGGTCATGTGGATAGAGAATATAAAGTATAAATAAGCTCTGGAATGATGCGGAAATGGTTTCGTCGTATTCATGGGAAGAGGTAATATATGATGGCAATCACACAAGCCACTATGATGCTTGTACACAGGAAACCGGGCTTCTGGAATGAGGGGCTCTTTTTGAATCGTGTCAGCAATGCAGTCTGAAAGAAATAAAGAAATAAATTAAATAATCATAATTTTTGAACTAAAATATTATATTCTAGCAATTTATTGAAATTTTTACAATAATTAAATAATTTTAATTATCATTTAACACTTTCTCTCATACACACTTATAGTATGTATGTGTGTATTTAAACAAATAAATTAAAACTTTTCATGATTATTTCGTAAAATCATATTAAAATCAATACTATGTAAAGATATGTGAGAAAAATAAAACTGGCAACTTAAAAATAAAACTGACTTACGTAAGCCTATGGCTAGTTATTTGGCTAATTACCGTTGGTGTTGGTTTAAAAGGAAATGTTTTGTAAATAAAACTTACAAAATTAAAATAAAATAAACAAGTTATAATGCAGCCAACTGAATAACTTCAGGTTAGATTCATCGGACATGGTCATCTAAAGTCCTATTTAACATCAAGGAGTCCTAACATCCTTCTTCGTTGTTTAAAAGGTCACTCTTTTTCTATTACACTAATTTTGGCGACTTTTGAGAAGAGGAATTTTCTCTAAAGATTTTTCCCTCGACATAAAAATATGCGCCACCGCAAAAATCGTCAAATATTTAAGTGCAAAATGACTTTCGTCATTGGTAACTTCAACTCACATTCCAAGGTTTTTTAGTTCTCTGGAGTTTTACCGATTTTCGTTTGCTTTTTAACCATAGTTAGCTCTTCTGAATTTTCTAACTATATGTAGGGTTTATACTTCTAGCTTCTGTTTTAAAAACAGTTTCAATTTTTTTCCCTTCCCAGTTTGGTATTTGCAAATATAAGGTTTCTTAAAATATGTACGAGTGTAATTCTTGATTTTTGAAAGCACACTTATTATAACAGAAAAAGAGTGACTTAGAAATATGGAGAAGGACAGAAACGTTTTTTTATAGGACTCCTTAATGTTAACTAATGGAAGGACTTTTGATGAATACACCCTGACGAATGTAATCTGAAGCTGTTCAGTTGGCTACACCATAACTTATTTATTTTATTTTTATTTTGGAATTTTGATTTTAATGTGTTTTCTTTTAAACACCAACGGCAGGTGTCAGCAATGCTCTTTCAGAAGTTGTCAATTCTATTTTTCTCTCAACAGTATTAAATTTCAAATATCTCTAGTATACTTTAAGAAAATAGTACTGGAATGTTTTAATTATAATAATATGATAAAACAAAGTAAGTAACTAAACAAATAACTTAAAACTTTTCAGAACAATTATATATGTATATAGTATATATAGTAAGAGCTTTGAATTAAGCATTTTTTATTTAAGTTTGCACAAATTTGCATGTTACAGCAATATTTTAAATTAAAACGGTAGAAAATAAAGCTAAATTATTACTGCAATGTCCTAAATCGTGCTTATAAGTAAGCAGATCCACTACATTCAGTAGACATTAATTTACAATACTATCCATATACGCATAACTATAGTAATCATTGAACACAATAATGAAATTTATGACATTTCATAATAAATTGCCTGTTTTCCTGGAAGCTGTCATGTTTAATTTAGCGTTTCGTAATAGTACGTTTAATTTACAATGCTTGCCATTTTAATTATAGAGGAAGTTTATCGAAATTATCTGATGGCAGTTTTCAAAAAGCATTACTTTTAAATGTTTTAAAGTAAGTTATTGAAGAGAAAATTGACACTTAAAGATGGATGTTTCAATATCGGATTTAACTGAGTACATTTTTCTGTTACTCAGAATATCAAAGGATATCAACTGAACTAACTTCTCATTTAAAGCTATGATCACATCAATAAGTTATTAATATAGTATAATTAAGGTTCAGTGACCGCTTTGAATTGTACTGATGTAAGGGCTGCCAAGCGATTAATAACCTTGTTGTATAATTTATTATGCTCTACATACTACTTCTTTTCCGTTTTTGTAAAACTAACTTTTTGATTATGTTTTCGAAATTGAAGTGCTTCTGTTACTAGTCGAGCTATCAAGTGCACTTTGAAAGGTCTAATCATATCAACATAATATTTTTAATAATCAATGCAAAAAATGCCATAAAATACCTAAAGAAATTATTTAAGTGTATTTTAAATTGACAATAGTCTGCAATGGACTATTCAAATCTGTAAAACTTGTTAAATGTTAGTTATTTGGCTAATATTTACGAAGATATCAGGAAAAATATGTTAACGGCTTCAATAGCCTGTCGGTATGCAGAGCAAAGAAATACGTTTTTCAAAACCCATTTGTAATCTCTGCTTTCAAGTGGCTCCCGCCTGAAGTAAGATTATTTAGTTTAATGTGTCCTTGGGCTTTTTTCCCGATGCTGACCCTATCAAAGCGATATCCTGCTTTAAAATAGACGGCAAAAGGGCGTTCTGTCATATAATGCAGATAGTTCAGGCAGAAACAGCTAACTAGAAGCAGAAAATACGTAACAGCAAAGTGTCCGTCTACTGACGAGAAAATTTTGGATTTAAGTCCCAGTAAAACTCAAAACTTTACAATGGTACTCGTCTAAATTTAAAACTCTCAGTGGACTTAGTTTTCCTCACTGACATCGCACATGTCAGAGATATGACCAGCCCCGAAATTAGGGAAGAGTGCGGAAATCTTATCGTGCCGATGAGAAATGGTATAAGGGATGCAACAGCTATGTGCCGCTGACAAAGGAAGACGCACTAGGTTCAAGTCCCCTTTAAAGTCCCGATGTTATAAATGAGTAAAAAGGAAAAAAAAATGTCTAAATAGCTGAACAACACAGCAATGTTCCCAAGAAACTGAAAACCGCACTAAAAAAATACATTAAGGGAACATTTAGTCAGGTTAACCTATAAGGTATTTCTTCTACTTTCCTAGCGTGCCTTCGGAGTGTAGTGGTTCTGCACGCTGGGCCGTTATTCCAGAGGTCCGTGGTTCGATTCCTGGCGAAGGCGTTGCTAATTTCTCATTTTGCCTGCTTCCAACTAAACTAATGTCTCTACAGTGACGCCCGAACTAAAAGGGTTTTGGATGAGGATTCTCCACACCCAGGATTTGGCGATTGGGTCCCCTAAAATCACCCCAGTCGCCCCTTAAAAATGGGAGTATATAAGGTATTTCTCCCACTTTTAGCGTGCCTTCGTGGTGTAGTGGTTCTGCACGCTGGGCCGGTATTCCAGAGGTCCGTGATTCGATTCCCGGCGAAGGTGGTTGCTATTTTTCATCTCTCCGGCTTTTCCAATTAACCTAATGTCTCTGAAACCTATCATTTAAATTTAAACTAAATTGAATTTAAGGGAACCGAAGCCATTGATTCATGATGCTGAATAATTTGCTCTTAAAACGAAAACCTGGTAAATGTATTGCCCCATTATTGAAATATATTTGTAACTTTTTTCTTGATTTACGCATTTTGCAACATACAGGAAATATGTTATATGCTTTTCTTCCCCTTGAATAATATTTGAGGTTTACTACAAAAGACTAGGATGGAACTACAAAAGACTAGGATGGAAAACTACTACAAAACTACTACAAAAAAAAAAAACTACAAAAGACTAGGATGGAAAAGATTTTTGTAAGATTCAAAATCTAAGAAGAAATAAATAAATAGAAACCTAGAACTCTTCTTGGAACCAGTTCCAGATTTTCCATCTACCTATCTGAAGAATCTTCATCATTTTTGTTTAAAAAAAAAATTAATGCAGCAAGAGTCAGAGCCGACCAACCGGAATAGTGGTTAGCGACGCTGACTGCCAAACCGAAGGGCCGAGCTCTAATCTCGGAGAAGGAATGGATGTTTGTAAATGTATAGTTTCTGTGTGGCGTGGGGGCACTCTAATTACGAGCGCGTGTATGGTGTGCACAAGGCTCTTGCCAATGACAGGCGCAATCTTACGCTCCTTGCCAAGATGAATTTTGTGGGTTTATTCTGATGTTATTGTCAGACAAGTGATAAGTCTCAGCAACAAGAGATAAGTCACAACAGCAAGAATTCAGTAGGTTTTTTCTACAATGATTCTCATGAAAAAATCAATGCGGTTGATGAAAGAACTTTTATTTATACATTTAAAATGCTTCGAAGTGGAAATGAACAGGAACCACCTGCTTCGATGCGCGGCTGTACGTAGGAGGAGTCGAGATACTGAAAGGCAAGAACGAGCTTCAGGCTATGACTTTGGTCTTTTTGTTCTTAGTTCGAGTGTTTGTAACCTCTGTTTATAAGATTTTTGTTCTTTGTTATTTTTTGCCTAACTATTGACATTGAAAATAATAATAAAAAAAAATGCCTCAAATTTTAAGCTATGTAAATTATGTTACGAGACATTAGTTAAAATAATTGTTAATTTTAAATAAATTATGTTTCTAATTTAAATTATTATTTATTATATTTATTGTTGTAGTAAATTATATTTCGACAACTTAAATTACTAGTTTGCATATACACAAAAATTTACCAAATACTTATAAGAAAAAAAGAAATATGCAGTAATATTACAAGAACCCAAATAATATTTACCGTGTTTCATTCACATAAGTTGTCTTTTCCCTTTTACTTTAAGCCACTGCTGACTGAGAAAAAGAAGAAAAAAGATCTCATTGGAAGACGGAGGGCTTTATTATCATTAAATAGGATATTTGAGCCTCTGCCAATTTCTAACCTAGTCTCAATAGAGTAAGCCGAAGTGAGCCTGGTTCGTTAATGTAGATAAAGTGACACAGCAACGCCTGGAGAATTAGAAATACAACGGAACAAAAGAAGTGAACATTTTAGAATTTTGAGGATGTATCGCAGTGACCTCCTTATTTAAATGGCCTAAGTTCATAAAATAATGAAGGGCAAGACGGCACTTTTAAGTATACTTCTGCTGTTGAAATGCATAAATAATCAGTTATATCTTACAGTTCTAAAATACAGAACTCGAATTATTGTAATTTATTTAAAGCCGATTTTTAGAGGAATTCCGAATTTCATTTATACCAAAGTTTTAATATTTATATTTCACGTAAGAAATTTCTTGACTG